AACTGCTTTCTTGTTTTGCAGATATATGCAAGTGAAGAATCAAACAAGCATTCAGGAGCATTAGTCTTTTTATTTGGGCAACTCCTCTCAAGCATTCCATTTTTGTTCTTCATCTCCATATCTACGAGTCTCATATTCTATTTCCTAATAGGATTGAGAGATGAGTTTAGCTTGCTGATCTACTTTGTCCTGAATTACTTCACGTGCCTTCTTGTAAATGAAGGACTGATGCTGGTTGTTGCTTCTTTGTGGAAAGATGTTTACTGGAGTATCTTGACCTGTTTCAGGTTGTAATGATGCTTGCTGCAGGATATTTCAGAATCCGTAGTCAATTCACCGGACCCATACGGATGTATCCATTATCATACATTGCTTTCCACACTTATTCTGTCCAGGTTAGTGCAACCTAAGAAAACATGTCATGTGTTCCTTTGCATGTCACGCCAAAATTCTGAGTACTTGAAAATTCATTACATATTACAGGGCCTTTTGGAGAATGAGTACCTAGGTACCTCTTTTGCAGTGGGGCAGGTAAGGACAATATCTGGGTTTCAGGCACTGCAGGATGCATACGCTATCTCCCCAGACAGCAATTCCAAGTGGGAGAACTTACTGGTATTGTTTCTTATGGCAGTTGGGTATCGTGTTCTCCTTTTTATATTGCTACATTTTCATGTAAGGAAAAACATATCCCTGCACAGACTTTGTCAGTGTTATCCTGACCAAACAACCTAAGATGAATAAAATTGCTGGTATTATCAATCTTTCATGAACATTTCTCTTTATTTTTTTATTTATTTTTTCCTCTTGCATTTAAATTTCATAAAAGTGGATGTACATGTGCAAGGGATCTCATTTGATTCATTCAAATGAAAGCCACAGATTATGGACACACAACATATTAATCTGTGCAAGGCTACCATATCTACAACTCTCCATCACAAAATAGCCACTTTTTTCTTTTAAAAACCAAAATTAGAGGGATGAAGCAATTTTTTTTCTTTTATTTTTTTGGCTTTTAGTTTCTCTTCTAGTTTCTTGATGAAACGCTCCAAGTTGTTCTCTGATGACCCAGTGGATGTTAATGCATTTTCCAATATTTTCTTGACCTCCTTGATCCTAATCCTGAATTCATTCCCCAAGTTTTCACCCATCAGATGGTCTATATTGTCCAAGACTTCCTTCTGGGTGATGATCTTGGTATTGCTCAGATTAACCCCTATCTTCCAATCATCAACTACAAGTTTTCTATTTGTAAACTGATCAGTTAGTAAGGGATAACACAGCAACGGTACCTGGCACCATGTACTCTCCAAGATTGAGTTCCATCCACAATGTGTCAAGAACCCTCCAATGGCAGGGTGGCTCAGGACCGTGGTCTGGCAGCACCAAGTTATGATCATCCCACGGTCACTGACCTCCTCCTTAAATCCGGCAGGCAACGGATCAACATCATCAGAGCTTACAACGTCGGGACGAATCACCCAAAGGAAGTTCACTTTGCTAAGCAAAATCCCATTAGCCATCTCCACTAGGTCTCTCTTGGTAACGTGGGCATAGCTCCCGAAGGACACATACAACACCGAGCCATGAGGCTTTGCGTCGAGCCATTGGGTGCAGTCAGACTCAGACCACAGGTTCGTAGCCACAATGCTCTTGGTGAATCCAGATGGGAAAATGGGTCCAATTGCATAGAATGGAACGTTATCTTGAAGCGCCTTTATAGTTTCAGGTTCGAGCTCTTGGACTGAATTGCAAAGAACAAAATCTGCATTCTTAGCATCTTTAAATGACCTGAAAATTATTTGGTGAACCACTGATGTTGTATCCG